TATATATATTGCCTCTTACATGTATCGAAATTGGATCGGTTATGCTGATAAACGACCTGCTTTGTGTTGTTTACTGTATATTTTAATGGTTTTGTCGATGTTTGAAGTACTGACAATTGTATTTCCACTGGAGCCTCCCTAACGTCATCCGTCTCAGGCTTTTTTCAACACTGTCGTCCGTAAAGTGCATATGTGCGCCATTAGATTTCTATGCATAAACTTAAGCTGTACCCGAACATCCGTTCTAGGTATTTTGTCGTCCGTTTGCCAGCCGTTCCCTTAATGGTTCTTTCATGAAACGCCATTGTCCATTGCACCGTTAACGGACAACGCGAATAGACCACCCTCGATATCAAGTCCAACACCGAAACAAAAATCCTTACAGCAATAAAACGTCTGCATAGCTGCTCACAGTAATTCTATGCTGCAAGTCCAGTCTTGACCTTCTGGCTCTTGGGCCTTACTAACCTCTGCCCTATATTTTATGGGGTATAGCATTAACTAGCTTCTTGATATCTTTTGCGCGTCTAAAACCGGTTTAGACACATATGCGTGCTCAGCTAATACCACCAGACCGAGATTATCTCTCACAACCTAAACGCATAACTGAGAAAGTAGCTTGCACACCAGATGACTATACGTTCACATATGGTACATCGACGACGGGACACGGAGAACCGACAGCGTCGACAGCAAATTCAGCTTGGTCAGCCATTTTCTGATCGCATTGCTCAGGTAACACGAAGCTGATACCGCTAGCAATGGCCGGCGGTGTATTTCTGACTCGCTTGACAAAGGGCTTAGCATGCCTCCGCCAGCCAAGTTATTGTTGTCGTTGCTAGCTTTAGTGTTTGTTGATGTTAAGAGTGATGTTGATGCTGGCCTTTTCTACCATTCGAGTCTAGCGCCCGAGACGATTTTTTTAGCAGCGATGGCTCTTAAAGATCTGCAATTCAAAACGTCATGCTACATACTCCATGACGCTTAGTGGTGCACGTCAAGCATACCGTTAAACTCGATCACAAATTACTCAATCGTTTCAATATGATCCATATAGTCTTGCTTGGTTCTGACTTTTTATGTTCTCATCTAGCGTCAGCAAAACACTCAACACGATTTATTGGTCCATGCAAGTAACCTATTGTTTGTTGCTGTCTCGTCATCGTCGGCTGTTATCGCCCATTAGGGGGGCATTATGCTCTCCCTGCCTCGTTTTTAACTTGATAACCCCGACACTTAAGGGTCACATAGCGGCTCACCAAAAAACGTTCGTGAATGCACAACGCAAAAAAAAATGTTCTTTTACCGCGCAAGATTGCGACGCCTTTTTGCGTGTCAATCAGTCAGTGTTGAATGCCGCAGTCTATACGTCGCACTCTGCCAAAAGTCCCGATGATCCCAAAATATGTATAATACTTTGCTGTACAGGCGCCTACTCTGCTTCACATAAGACACTTTCTTTGAAATGCTCGGCAGCTTCCTAAGCCCGGAATACGGAGATAATCATGAGAGCGGCCTGGTATGAAAAGATATATCACATGCAGTTACTAACGGCGGCCTTCCTTACTGATGAAGCAGGCGTCAGAATACAAGACGACAAAAAAGGACGACAAAAGATAAAGAGGAAATTCGTAACGACGGAAGTACGGAAGGTTCTGGTAGCGACAATGAAGGAAACGAGACGTTAACGGAGTAAGAAAAAGCGGCGCAAGGCCTTGGTGAAAGTGGATCGGGCTTGCCAGGTTCGGCTGCGGAAATTAGCATAAAACAGCAAAACGCTGCGCTTGCTTCTCACATCCCAGACACGACTGGCGCCGAGAACATGGTTTTACGGCCTTTTCACAACCTCTTCGGCGTCATGAAAGGGACTTCAGACGGTGAGAGACGTGGGATATCGAGTGGCGGTATTCACCTCCTTCTTCTTGTGGCGGTGAGTCTAGTGCCTGGATGAGAAAGCTTGGAGGCCTTTCGAGCAGGCGCCACTCGGCCTGTGTTAGATAATAACCGCCGCTGCTTGCTGTCACCATGAAGTCATTTCGTTTCTACACCTACATGACACTATGTGCCATTCACTTTTCGTTGACCGGCTTCATGAAGTCGGAATGAAGGGTTGAGACTGGTAGCCAGTCGGGTCGTTGACAGGAGAGCTAAAGTTTATCCTATGCCACAACCCGGTTCCATGGAAAGTAAAGCATGCGAAAATGCCCACATAATAGGAACAATATCGTGTACTTAGACGGTCATTAGACTGCAGTCAACGACAGCCTCTGCAAGTCACAACTAATGTAAAACTGCTATGTGAGTTAGCACCTTATGAGGCAACGATTGCGATTGTAAATATGGTAACGCATAATGTACATTACGCGATCGCAGCTACTGCATCCGGACAACCAAGTCATTGACTTAAAAAAAACCAGGGGTCGCTATATTACAAAACTTCTGTGAATAAAGGTACAGTAACGTACATCAACATTATTTGGGTATACATACGCAACACGTAGTATCTGTTGATAATACCTGGAAATCACGAAATTAGTGAAAAGTTATTGTCTAAGTTGGATGTACTAAAGTTAGACTACCTGCGCTCAACAGTGCAAGTCCGTATATTTCTCTAGCACAATAACGTTATGATATTACTGGTATGATTTGAGCTTGATAGAGGTTTTTTTCACTCTATTGTTTGCCTTCCTCTAATTGTACTCTCTTTTTGTTATTTTCTTTTGATTGCAATGTATGTTAAAACTCAAATAATTTCTTGTTTGACATTACATTTGTTCCTTCGTTGTCCTCGTTAGGTCGTCCTCAGTCACCTCGCTCTCCTCAAACGCCTAAAGCCATTCTGAGTTTACCGGCCACAACGTCACTCTACTAATAGTAAAAAGCTAAGAAGATAGTGACATATATGTACGACGCGCCTGCACGCCATAACTCCGACTTACCACACATTTCTCCCGCCAGCAGACAAGTCACTAGGAGAAAGCGAGCAGCCGAACAAACTAAGGTAGCTGCCCAACGTCTAAAAATTGTTATAGCCCACGAGCCGTTTTTAGCTTTCTCTTACTCCCTTCTCGCCTCGATTCGCCCTCGTTATTACTTGATGGTACGCCTCCCTTGGTGGTTGGGCGCGACACTAGCGACAGAGGCAATGGCCCCTGGAACAGTGGACGGTCTCAGTAAGCTTGCCCACGGTACTGACACCGTGGAGACAATGGTCTGGAAGGCAGTCTGACACAACGGTTTAGTTTATGCAGACTAGGCTTTATTCGTTGTGATGTCATCTCACGCAGGCGAGCCTAGCTTAACTTTGAAGCCTGCTAACATTTCTAGCAACTCGAGCTCTTCCAAGCCCAGCAAAGTTGCAAGTCTGGCTCGCACGCCAGCGGTCTACAAAATGGAAATAGATGGAATAAGTACATTTGATGAAACTTTTCGAGAATTAAGCAATTGCTGGCAAGGCTCGCTCCATGCATTGTCCGTTGCGTGTTAACTGTGTTGACTCGCTGGTTAGTGGCGTAGCCAGTCACTCATCGATTGTGATCGCCACCGTCGCTAGTACAACAATGACCGTAAAATAAAGCAGACAACGCTACGAAGAGAGCTAGCGGAACCCTTAGGAGTTATTGGAGCAGACTACGAGCGATATAGACGTGCATAACGGCCAGACCTTTCCGCTACAGGTTAGGGCGGTGATGGTCGCCCACGAAGGGATCGAATTAGTGAAACGTAAAGCCGACTGTTCTTTACCATTGAACAACAGCAATAGTAGTCGCGGCGTCAAGAGGAGACAGCTCAACAGCAGTTAATTCTGGTTCGACGAAGAGTTAATCTCGATTGAACACAGCAGCGAACATTCTCAGAGTGTCTCATTTGCCACTGGGCCGCTGCTGCTGCTGTTTTAATTTCAGAGCGACCTCTGCCGGCATTTCCGTCCAAGTATCTTCTATATCTTTCCATTTATCCAGGGCTATTTTCTGCCCTGAATAAATCAATGTAAAAACGTTTCCTAAACTCTGTCAGACCAAGAAAGTGCTGACACGTTCGATCATATATATATATGATGTCACTTTTGATGGGGTTCTGAACGGACCATACTCTGCGCTAAGACGACAGATATTGCAAGCTTCAATATATAAAGCTCATAGCAGTGACGTTTCCTTTGTAGGAGATCAGTTTATTATCTTTCCGAGGTGATTAACATAACATTATCATTCTGCAATCGGGCAAGTAAATGCATTGTCAATCATTCATGTTCGATTTCGGCTAAAGTGTTATCTGTAACTGCTTATCAAAGTTCACCTCTCTCCCCCCGATCACGTAACACGTGAAATTAATGCTATTATACTATACAATATTAAACAGAAATCAAGATGCAGGAAAAAAAACTTGCGCTTAAGCAGCTGGTTTTTCACGCAGGCGTTCTTAGCACTCTCACACTAAGTATGTCGTGTTCTTGGTCACCAAACTTTAAAAAGATAAATTTGAATTGTATATTGTAAGACTCACTGGTCAACGCTGTTCTGAGACTAAAGCCATTCTCACGCTTGACCACTTTTCTCTTCATGAGTCGCTTTCGAAGCGGGCCTGAGCAGGCCCTGTAGGTCTCGTTGTTGCTGACATCACCGGTCATAACGGCCACCTCAGAGAGCAGCAAGCACAGCGTTGGTGAAAGTGTTTCCGTGCGTGAATTCTTTATGGACTTCTTTTCTATCTCTTAAAGCTTGGCTTGAAGCAAGAATATGCCGGCAGTAACGACCCCATTCTGTCCACCTTTACACGCCATATTCAGTTTTATCCCTTTGATTGTATTCCTTTGATTTCTCACGAAACTAATCCGGCACTAATGGAAAATTTGCGCGTCGACTCGTAGTTTCCTTAAAAGTCAATAAGTAGGTTGCCGCAATAGCAACAGCATTGTTTGGCGCCTCGTAGAGCGTTTGTAGTGCTCGATCCAGGTCGGCAATGGTCTGTGACATACCGGCTATTCTCTGTACTACGCCGGCCTTTCGCGACCGCGTGGAGCCCACAGGCAGAGAGGAAAACAAACGCAGAAAGAAGGATACCCATCATTGGCTAACGATAGGCTTCTTGCAGTTTGACCATGGATTCTATGCAGCGGGAGAGGAGATGTACGCAGCGGAGAAGATGTCATGAAGAGCGGTTCTCATAATGAAATTGGCGTGGTGGGGGCTGGGGGCTGCGGACAAGACAAATGTGTGGGTCCGGAAGGCGCTACAGGCCGAACCCGGCGAGCGAATGCGGGGCCTTAGTGGAAGACTGCCAGGAACAAGGAGTTGCTTTACAGCCCAGTAAGTCGCATTTGTGAGGCGCCAGGCTGCGCGAACAAACGCGCGAACAATTGGCACAAGCCAGCTCTACCGGGTCCAATTGCGACGGTCAAATCGCTGGTGCCACTAGATTGTCCACCCATTCCCCTGACGCGAGATGCCCGTCCAATCTTGCTACATTATTGGAGGGACATTAACCAGATCTGATGTCGCAGAAAATTGTCGCCTCGATAATTCGTAACATCCGCCGCTCTTTAGCAATAATCCTAGGTTCACTCAGTTCTCCCCTCTTAGCAATAACTTCTCTGCTTCTATATCGTACATGTAATCGACAACGATGGTATCCTAGCATCGTGCCCACCCTATGGTGTGATTCTTGATTGTATCATCAACAGTTCAAACGATGCACCTGAACGACCCCCCTAAAATGAAAACGAGGATCAGTGACAAACGAAGCATGTTTTGCGCACTTTACAACCCATTGTACTACCAAGGAAAAAAGTGCAAAGCAACAGGAAGCTGGTTAAACGTGTTTCATCCTACAGAATGGTTACGTTCGCTTGAGCTAAGGTGATACTAAACACAGACGCCGTCTATAATAGTAATACTGCTGCCTCAAAATGACAATCAAAGTGACCTCTGTGTTTCCAAAATGATATAGTCTGGCTACGCTAATCAAATAAAAATAAGGGCGCCTTCTATGAAAATACATTTTATCTCTGTAAACCTAGGTCGGTTAGTTAAAAATGTGCTAATGCTTGCCAGGATCCGTGTCGAACGACCGACAACAAATACAAGTAACTTATGAATATGGAGATTTTGAATTACCTGTAAATGAAACAAAAACAGCATGTTACTTCAAGCTATATATATGTATATATATATTTAGAAAAGGATATCTAATTATATATAAGCTTCAAAATTAATGTCATTTCTGTACTCGGCATGTTTAAGCTTTATGGTTTATATCGTTGTTTTTCGACCGAGACTGTGGTTAGGCTAGAGAGCAGAATATATCGCGTGTTTTTTTCAATCTGGCTTACCTCTGTGTGTCTGGTCGCACGTGCGATCTCTGTGAGAGCGTGGTCGCTGCCCCGGCGTTGGGTCACCCTTCTTCCCGCTTTTACTATTCAAGCAAAGATAGAAATATCTGACAGCCCCAATTACAGAAATGTTTACAGTTTAGCTCTATGTTAACTGCACATGCTTTAGTTGCGCAAGTTTGAGTATTCTTTTAGAATTTCCGCCCTTGTCAAAACGCATATATGCCCGTTTTTTTCCTGATCTTTAAAACGATTTTCGACCCCAATCGTGGGACAACATTTCAGCTCCGCTTTGTTTTTTTTTTTTCGGAATTTCTTTAGTCATATTAGATTGTGTGTGTTTTTTTTTTAAATATTCTTTGAGCTGTAGAAAACATAAAAGCCAAAGGTGACTAGATCTAGTGACGGCGCAGGTTTGCGCTGGACTAGATCTTGTGACGGCAGCACAAGTATCGCGACACAAACGGCAATTTGTAAACCAACGTACTATCTAGATAAAAAAACACATGACCCTTTTTCTTTAAAAAAAGGATCCGATGTGACAGGTGTGAGACTTTTAACTGTTCTGCGAGCTGGCTGAGGTTGACATGGCGCTAGAGGGTTTTTTCTCTCTTACAGGATCCTACGCGCTTAACGTTGTAGGTCCCTCCCAACGAGGGTCGTCTTCAATTACTCCCTTGTCTATCTCGAAAGCCTCAAAACAACTCGTACACTCGCGAGGTTAGCTCATACTTCGGCCTTGAAGAGGCTTCCGCACTACTTGTGGATACTTGATTTAGCTGTTAACACAGAAAGTTGTGCACACTCTTCCGTACTTTGTTTTCATTTTTCAGAAACACTATACATGGCTGAAAGTGACTCGCTTGATCAGACGCTTGCAGAAGATAACACATACAAACTCCAATGCTACAAAATTTGGCCTGGAACTAAAGGTAAACCCTACAACGATAGAAAACGGGAATTTAACTGATTCATTTTTGTTAATGATTGAAATGTTCGTTTTTCTGCTCAGGAGCTGATTCGGCAAATCATGTATGCCATCCAAGCGATACGCTTGTAGCCAATACTAAAGTGCTAATACAATAAAGCAAATGCTACCGCTGTACATATATTCTGGTAACAAGTGACCTGCTAGATCAGATTTATTCGACGACATTGATTGCTATGCCTGCTACTTTTGGGTGACCTGCACTATTATCTCTAGTAAATAGGTATTCGTAGATACATATATATGTGCATACATGCGTACGTATCGCCCTGAATGTGGAGCTATAATATAAAATGCCAAGGAAATCGAGTGCAAATAAAAGACTAAACAAAACAAAGAAATTACGATGAGGCCTACATACATTGTACCAGTCCTGTAATTCATAGCAAAGCCTGCGTTGGCCAGCCTCGAGCATACAGACACCAGTAGTATATAGTCCAAATTGGTTTCCTATAAAGTTGCTTGTGTAGAGCTTATTGACCAGAGAAACCCCTATATTCGTACGCTTTAGGTTGCCCCGGAAGCTGG